CCCCGAGCGGGACCACCCTCAGCAGGACCTGAGTCACTAGTGACCTCAACCGGCGCAGTCAAGGAGGGAGGGTCTACCTGAGACACACCTGAAGGAGTAGGACCGGGAGCGGGGAGGGGGTCTACTTGGGGAGCACTTGGAGCGAGGAAGAGCAGCGGGGGGGGGAGAGGGGCAGTGCGGTAGGGGAAGAGACGGTAAAAGGGAGCTGACTCGTCGAACGTGACGTCCTGAGCGGGGAAGACACGGCGCGAGGTGGGGTGGTAAAACTGCCAACCAGGCGTGTCAGGGACAAAGCCAAGGAAGACACAGGGAACAGCGCGGGGGGAGAGCTTGTCCGCGGTGGTATCGCGGACAAATGCACGAGCACCCCAGACCCAGAAACGCGACGCATCGCCAATCTTCCCCGTCCACAGCAGTGTGGGCGAGGTCTGTGGCAAGGAGATACGGGGCCACAGGTTGAGTTGATGCGCGGCGTACCGGACCGCAAACGTCCACAGAAAATGGGGGGCAGCCGCATGGATCATGGAGGTACGAGCGACCTCCATGGCTAAGCCAATGCGGCGCTCAGCAACCCCATTCTGCTGCGGAGAGCCCGGAAGCGTGAACGTCTGGCGTATGGCGTGCTTCGCATGGAAGGGTGCCAAGAGGTCGGAGGAGAACTCACCACCTCTGTCAGAGTGCAGACGTAGGACAGGAAAGTCCGACTGGAACCGCTCGCGGAGCTGGAGACGAATAGCGCGGATCCAAGGGATCAAAACATCAGGGACATCCCCCTTGCACTGCAAGGGGAAGACTGTGGTGTAACGCATGTAGTCGTTGATGACCAGCAGGAAGTACCGCTCGTGGCCCTGTCCACGGACGTGGGCTGGGCCCCACACGTCCAGGTGGAGAGTCTGCAGGGGAGCCTCTGTGGGAGGGAACGAGGAGGAGTGAGGAGCGGCTCGCTGCCGCCCCTCGACACAGGGAAGACAGGGAGGAGCAGGCGAGGGTGGGAGGGGAGGGAGAACCCTGGGAAGGCCAGAGACAAGGACACGGCGGTGCATGCTACGAAGGCACTGCACCGAGGGGTGACCAAGGCGGTGGTGCCAAAGGAGGGTCTGGTGCGACAAAGCGCGACACGAGCAGGGGGGCGCTAGCTGACCTGACATAGACGCAGACGCAACGACCTGATGGGACATAGTAGTCAGTGTGTACAAACTCGAGCCAGGCGCACGGGTAAACGTGGCCAGGTGCCGGCCAGTCCGGGAGCACATACAGTGGGTCACGCGCTGACCTCCAGGAGTGAACTGGTCAACCCACTGGTCCTGGAGGTCAGCACCACTCACCAAGTTCGTAGAGAACGAGGGGAGGTGAAGACCTGACAGGGAGCCAGATGGGACTGCCGGACACAGCAGGACCGCAGAGGAGTGCGCAAGGACAGGACCCCCAGAGGGGTCTGCCAGGGAAACTGGAACCGGCCGGCTGAGTGGCGTGAGGGTGGTGCTGTCGCGAAAGAAGGAGCGGGAAGCACCAAAGTCAAGTGTGAAGGTGTACAAGGCCTCAGCAGGCGCAGTACCAGAGAGAGCAGACTCACCAGCACCTGGAGCAGCAGCCTCACCAGTACCCAAAGCAGGAGACGTACTAGCACCTAGACCAGCAGCCTCACCAGCACCAAGAGCAGCAGGCTCTATACCTGGGTCAGGCGGTACGCACAGGTAACAGGCACGAGCAGCACTAGTAGGCAATGCATACATGGCAGTGAGAATAGCATCATAGTCAAGAGCAAATATATCTACCCTCTGCCCAAGCAGCTCCACCCAGTCGTGGAGCTCAGCCTCGTCGCCAAACTCGTAACGCCAGGCGTCGCTCAGACGGACGAAGCAGCAGGATTGGGCGTGACTAAGCGTCCCGCAAGCCTGACCCGTCCGATCACCTATGCGAATGACGTACGGGCAGAGAACGGTACTCAAAGACCCTCTACTATGAGCGTACCACTCGTGAAGCTGCTGGGACGTAAGTGTCTCGCGTGGACGCCGCTGCAGCTGCAGCTGGCCACCGCCAGACGCTCCCAACTGACCAGCTCCAGGGCGACAGCTACAACGGCTACCACCACAACCCCAACTAGCGTACCACTCATGAAGCTGCTGGGGCGTAAGAGACTCGCGCGGACGTCGCTGGAGCTGCATCTGGCCACCGCCAGTAGAAGCAGTAGCAGTAGCCTAGCAGTATTAACAGAAGTAGCAGCACGGGCAGGGCAGGCGCCGCATGCAGGCAAGCAGGCAGGCAGACAGACAGACAGGCAGGCAGGCAGGCTGGCTGGCAGGCAGGCAGGCAGGCAGATGGTGCGGCAGCGCGCTAACAAGGCAGGTGCTCACCAGTGGCGGGAAGAGCAGGCGCTCGCCGGGTGAGCAGGGCCGGCGCTCGGCGGGCAGCTGCACGGGGTCTAGGGGCGGCGTCGTGGGTCCAGGCGCGGCTGCTCGAGGGTCCAGGGGCGGCTGCACCAGGGGCGGCTGCTGCAGGGGCCAGGGGCGGCTGCTCTGGGTCCAGGGGCAGCTGCTCGAAGGTCCCGGGGCGGCTGCACCAAGGGCGGCTGCTTCAGGGGCCAGGGGCAGCTGCTCTGGGTCCAGGGGCGGCTGCTTGAGGGTCCAAGGGCGGCTGCACCATGGGCGGCGTAGCTGGTACAGGGGCAGCCGCAGCGCGCGGGCTTGCAGCGCGCAACGCGAGCTGCAGGCGCGGCGCGCGAAGCCGCTGCGGGCTGCGCGAGGACGGCAGCCGCGGCGCGCGGGGCTGCAGCGCGACGTGCGGGCAGCTGACGCGACGCGCGGGGCTCCAGCGCGACGCGTGAGGCTGCAGCGCGACGCGCGGGGGTGCAACACGCAGGGCGCGGCCGCGTCGAAGGCAGGGCGCGGCCGCGTCAGAGGCTGGGCGCGGCTGCGACGGCTGCAGGGCGCGGCCGCGTCGAAGGCAGGGTGCGGCCACGTCGAAGGCAGGGCGTGGCCGCTTCGAAGGCAGGGCGCGGCCACGTCAAAGGTTGGGCGCGGCCGCGACGGCTGCAGGGCGCGGCCGCGTCGAAGGCAGGGCGCGGCCGCGTCAGAGGCTGGGCGCGGCCGCGTCAGAGGCAGGGCGGGGCCGCGTTCTGGCCTGACGGTCCTGCAAGGGCGGCTCGTGGGCCTGACGGGCCTGCAGGGGCGGCTCGTGGGCCTGACGGGCCTGTAGAGGCGGTGTGTGGGCCTTACGAGCCTGCAGGGGCGGCGCGCGGGCCGTACGGGCCTGCAGGGGCGGCGCGCTGGCCTAGGGCAGTAGGAGGCAGCGAGAGGGCTGCAGGACGGCGCATGCAGCGCAGCACGTCACAAGGCAGGGCAGGCAGGCAGGCGCAGGACAACACGTGGGGTAGCGCGGTAACCGCAACGGTAGGTGGGCCCAAAAAAAAGAAAACGGTCCTACGGACCTAGTGCTCTGAAACCATGTCAGAATCTAGCAGTAGGAATGAATGAACTATGAAATGGTTGGGTACAAGTATGAAACCCTAAAAGGGGCTGTACCCCATATTGGCTACCCCACTACAGCCTAAACATATATAACATGTATATACTTTGACACGAGCTTCCCACCCTAACGTGCTCGATCGGCGGGATTGATGAGGACATGAGCGACACATCCCCACACCCGAAGAGGGCGGGCGGAGGGTTGGCGGCCAGTCCAGAGCTGGAAGGGTGTAATGGAAGGGCGAAGGGGATGAGGGCGAAGGTTGGAAAGAAGAGTGGCATGAACAAGAGCGTAGCTCCAAAGAGATTGTGGAGCAGAGGCATGAGTAAGGAGACAGCGAGTGACCTCCATGAGAGTGCGAATACGACGCTCGGCAACACCATTCTGTTCGGGAGAATGTGGAAGGGTGGAGGTTTGGCGAATGCCATGAGAGGAGCAATAAGAAGAGAGAGAGTGGTTAAAGAACTCGCCACCTCCATCAGAGTGGAGGCGTACGATAGGACGACCAAAGCGAAGGCGCGCCTGCTCAGCCCAGCGAATGATGAGGGAGGGGGCGTCAGATTTGGCACGGAGGGGATAGACAGTGGCAAAGCGAGAGTGGTCATCAACAAGAAGGAGAAAGTAACGATGATCCTGACGGGAGGCAATGGGAGAGGGACCCCATAGGTCCATATGCACAAGATCAAGGGGTTTGGGGGAGGCAGAAGGGGAAGATTGATGAGGAGATTGGGACAGCTTGGCCTGAACACAAGGGGTGCATGGAGGAGCGGGAGAGGGGGGAAGGGGCGGGAGAGAGAAAGGGAGATCATGAAGCAGCTTCAAATTGACTATGCTGCAAAGGAGAGGGAACTTGGGGTGGCCAGGGCGATGATGGAGAAGAAGGGTAGGTTGGGTGAGAGAGCGACAGTCGCAAGAGGAGACGAAAGGGGCAGAAGAGGAGGAAGTGTGATGGACAGATGAGGGGATGGAAACACGAAGGGTGTAGAGACGAGTAGTAGGGGAAAGGGTGAAACGAGCGAGGTGCCGGTCGTGGTAATGAAGATCACAATAGAGTGCACCTGCGGGGAAGAGCGCTCGCACACCAAGGCGTTGGAGGGCAGGAAGGGATAGGAGGTTATGATGGCAAGAGGGAACATAAAAGCCAGTAACAGCGCCAGAGGGAGAGGCAGGACAGGGAAGAGAGCAAGTGCCTGTGCAGATCATGGTCATGGTCTCCCCAGCCCCATCAATAGAGAGGGGACGAGGAAAATTGCAAAGAACACCAGCATCACGAAAGACAGGGTCAGTAGCAGCACTGTCAAGGACAAAATCCAAGGTGCGAGGAAGTGAGAGAGCGGCAGCCGTAGGGCTGGGAAATTGAGAAGCAGTGCTTAGAAGCAGTGGAGAAAATGGAACGAGAAAGCGAGGGTCCATAAGAGGAGAAGCACCAAGGATGCTATCCTGAGAGGGCATGGTCACACTGAAGACAGAGACCAGAGAACCAATACCAGAGGTTACAGCGGCAGAAGAGCGGTGGGGCTGATGGGACAGCGGAATCAAAGCAGAGGAGTGGAGAAGAGGGGAGGTCCAACGACAAGGAGGAGAGGTGCAAGGGGAGGAAGGGGCAGCGAAGGGAGCGGAGAGTAAGGAAGGCAAGGGTAGGAGAGGAGGTACGGTAGAAGGAGGATGAGGGCGGAAGCGCAGAGGAAGAGAGGTAAGAGTGAGAAGAGGCCCCATATGGGGGAGGGAATAGCAATAAAGCAGTTGTGGGGAGAGAAAAGAGGAGGAGAAATAGGGGTGAGGTAGTCAGCTGCTGAGCCGTTGAGGGGAGAAATACAAGGAGGGATGGCAGCGAAGTAGCCTGCTGCTGCGCCGCTGAGGGGAGACATAAGAGGAGGAGGGATAATGGCGGGGTAGTCTGCTACTGCGCCGCTGAGGGGAGAAATACGAGGAGGAGGGATAGCGGCGAAGTAGTCTGCTGCTGTGCCGCTGAGGGGAGAAACTAGAGGAGGAGGGATAGCGGCGAAGTAGTCTGCTGCTGCGCCGCTGAGGGGAGAAACAAGAGGAGGAGGGATAGCGGCGAAGTAGTCTGGTGCTCCGCCGCTGAGGGGAGAAACAAGAGGAGGGATAGTGGCGAAGTAGTCTGCTGCTGCGCCGCTGAGGGGAGAAATACGAGGAGGAGGGATAGCGGCGGGGTAGTCTGCTGCTGCGCCGCTGAGGGGAGAAAGAAGAGGAGGAGGAAAGGTGTGGAAGGCGATGAAACATGGACAGCTACCAGCTCCAGCAGATAGGGAGAGAAGAGAGGCGGAGGAAGAGGTGAGAGGGTGGGGGAAATAGAGGGAGAGAGAAGAGGAGGAGGAGGGTGAAGGAGCGGATTGTGGGGAGGAAGTAGGGTCACGATCACCAAGTGGCAAGTAGTAATACGCAGCCAGGTGGCAGATGTGGAGGGGAAGAAGGTGGAGGAAGGGAGGAGAGGCACGGAAGGGAGGAAATAATGAGGAGAGGAGGAGAAGGAGGGTGAAGAGGCGGATGGGGTGAGGGGAGAAGGAGGAGGTGGTGCAGAAACGGCAGAAGAAGGCGCACCGCGAGGGGAGGGGAAGGCGCCTGCAAGGAGGTGACGCAGGCCGCCCATGAGAGGGTATGGGAGGGTGGCCGCGAGGAGGGAAGGGTGGCTGGGGAGATGGAGGGCAGTGGGCAAAACGCGTGCGCGGGCGTCGACGGCGGGGAGGCCGCGCACGTCGCCGTCAACGCACGTCGACGACGGGCAGGGCGCGCGACGTGGCGGTGGGTAGGGCTCGCGACAAGGCGGGGCAAGGGGAGGGTGGCGTGGCGTCGGGACAGGGCGCGGCGACGGGACAAGGCGCACGACTAGGGGACGGGGCGCGTAACTAGGCAGGGAGGCCTCGGGCGATGGATAGAAGGTACCGTGATTTAATATTAAGAAGAAATTTCAGGGTCGAAACAGTAGGAAAAGTAATTTTCGACAAGGTAAAAGAGTGGCGCGCCGGATGCTAAGGCCTAAACCGTACTAAGAGATATAGATTGGGACAAAACGCCAAGGTTTTGGCTCTAGATACCATGTTAAGGCTGAGAGTATGGTAGCCATGGGTAGGAAGAGAGAAGGTAGCGAGAGAATTGGTACTAGGAAAGAGTGTCGAGATACAAATGTATGAAACCCTAATTGAACTTAGGGTGTGTTCAGTTTGTGCTAGAAACTAAGAAATGAACCTGACCGTGCTGGGCGACGGAGGGGTCCATTGACCAGGGCGAAACAGTGGTCGGTAAGGGAGGTCGTCGACTAGGGCGTCGGGGTGATACCCGGTCGACCAAGTAACCTCCTCGATGAGGTTCCGCAGGGGCGCGCGAACGTCGTCGAGACTGTGATGGCAAAGGCAACTTCAGGGTACGTGGAGCTTCTAGCACAACTATCAGCATGTAGCCGACTTGGCACCTACGTGACGGTAGAATACGTGTTCGACCATTGCTGCATGCTCGCAAAATGGGTGCGCACCTGCGCTACTGTACCCCGTAGTTGCAACGTTGGCACGCCGCCTTGGTGCAGCGTTGGCAAGCCGTCGTCTTATTCCGTCGACACGTCGCTCTTCTGCAACGCTGGCGCGCTTGTCAGAACGAGAAGCTAGAATGACTGCATTAAGGGCACATTCCGCTATGGACATGTCCCAATCGATTCCACCGCTCCGAACCGAACTAAACCAGAGACGCAAAAAAATTGACAATGTTTGAAACTAGGGTGTGATTCGGTGTAATAAGATGCAGTGCGGTTGAATCGATTGGGACATTTCCAGAGCAGAATGTACCCTACATGAATTGTGGGTCCAAGTACTAACCCTAACCTTGGGTTGTACCCCATATGGGCTACCTCATTATAGCCTACACAGAACTAACACATATGTAGTTGGACACACCCCCATAGGCAAAATGGGGGAGAACAAGGGGTCACAAGACCAATCAAGAAAAGCAAAGCAAGCTCAGGGTGGATCACAACATCACCACAGACTCCGAGCACAAGCAAAGGGCCACACGGCCAGTTCACATGCACAGGTATAAATGCAACTACCTAGCAAAAGTAGCCATGCATGTATACAATATAGATCACAGTACAAGAAAATTCAAGAGGTGAGCAAGTGAGGACAAGTAGGCACAAGTCCTAGAACAATACAAAACTGCTGATGATCACAAGGCTGAAGTGCCTTGGTGAAGATATCAGCAGTGTTGGCCCGAGAGGCCACGAAAGCAAGACAAAGCTGACCACGCTTCTGCAACTTTCGAGCAAGGAAGTAACGCAGAGTGATGTGCTTCGTCCTATGCTCCAATCGGTGCTCCCGACACAAGGCAATCATGGCCTTGTTGTTGATGTACAGAATTGGACGAGAACGAGGCGGGTCTCCCAAGTTGGTCAGCAGGTAGGTGAGACAACGTAACTCCTGTGCAGCCATGGCCCCTACGTAGATCTCAGCCTCACAACTGGAACTGAGAACAAAAGATGAGCCGGTAGACCGCCAAGAAACAAAGCCGGAGCCAAGAATGAAGGTCTAACCTTGTGACGACCGCTGCGTAGCCAAGTCGTCAACCCAAGAAGCGTTTGCGTGGCCAGTGAGGACAGCTCGGGCCCATCCTCCAAGCACGAGCTCCATGCCCGACGTACTGCACAAGTAGCGCAACACCCTCTTAGCGGCCTTCCAGTGCTCTGGTTGGTGTTTCCCGGGCGCAACGTAGCGTGCCAGGATGCTAAGAGGGTAAGCAAGGTCATGTTGAGTGCAGGTCATCAGGTACATGAGGCAGCCCACAAGCTCTGGATACGGGCCACTCAGCTCTACGGACTCATCCAAAGGCACAGCTGAGAGCGAGTGACCGGTAGGTAGAGGAGTGGACTGTGGCGAGGATTACGTGAAGCGGTAGCGCTGAAAGACTTGCTGCACCATGTGTGACTGAGTCAGGGTAATGGTGCGCCGTGCTCTATCCCGGGTGATCTACAAGCCAAAATAGATGTGCAGCTCTCCCAAGTCTGTGCACGTGTGTCTCCTCTGCAGCTCCGACTTCACGTGGGCGAGTCCCTCAGTGTCAGCAGTGGCAAAGACCAAGTCGTCGAGGTACACGAGGATGTAGAACGGCGGCAGGGAAGTATCGCTGCGTAGAAACAGCGACGGGTCAGCAGTGGAAGGAGCAAACCCAAGAGCCGCAAGCGTCGTCCTCAGTGTGTCGTGCCACTCACGAAGCGCCTGACGGAGACCGTAGACTAGCTGCCGGAGGCTCCATTGGGTACCGGCAAAAAACGACCCAGTGAAGCCAGGTAGGCGGCGTAGCCAGATCTCCTCGTGCAGGCTGCCCTGCAAGAAAGTTGTGCTAAAGTCAAGAGAGTGAAGCTCTTAGTCACGCTGAGCGGCAACGTGCAGCAGAACCCGAAGAGTGGTCATCTTCAGGGTAGGGGAGAAGGTCTGGAAGAAGTCAACTCCATGTCTCTGACTGAAGCCTCGTGCAACGTAACGCGCCTTGAAGACAGGCGGAGAACCGGGCGGCTGCTTCACCCTGAAAATCCACATGCCACCGACAATGTTCGCCCCAGGTGGGAGAACTACGACGACGTAAGTGCCTGTGGAATTCCATGATACCATCTCTGTGTCCATGGCTAACTGCCACTGAGAGGAGTAGGGACCCTCAATCGCCTCTACGTAAGAGCGCGGGGTCGGGATGTCAGGTGCATGTGGGTCTTCCTCAAGTGCAATCAGCATGGACACGAGATGAGGTGTAGCAGCTGTAAAACGCTCAAAGCCCTCTTGCCTGTCCTCAAAGATGTTTGTGCCAAGAGCACACTCACCCCCGACGGACAGAGGGGTGGCAGACTCAGACTCAGCAACAAGACTAGCGTCGTAGTCGAGACGATAAGCAGCAGCAAAGTCAACAAGCTCATCGACTAAGGCAGACGCATCAATGGACTCGAACGAAGGGTTAGTGACAACAGTGGCTAGGAGACGCATAAAAGTAGGGCTGGCAGCATGAACTAAGTCAGACTCAGGGTCCGGATTGGCAAGAAGAGAGGACGAAGGAGGAGATGGCAGGGGAACACGCTGTGGAACAGAGGAAGGATGAAGTGCCATAGTGTGCGTGCCGGGGACAGCAGGAAGACGCTCACGAGGAACACGACGACCAGTGCAGCCAGCGCGAACAGGCGAGGCAGGACGAGACATAGGGTCATGACGCTCTGTAAGCAAGTCTGTCTGCTCAGTGTAAGGAGAAGGAGCAGGGAGTGGAGAGCTTTGCTCTAATGGGAGGCCAGTAGAAAACGGGAGGCTAAGAACCTGGGGAAGCACGAAGTTAGGTGGTGACAGAGACGACGGTGACAGCGGAGCGAAGAACAGTCGCTGTTGTGCAGCACCACCAGCACCAGCACCTTGAGTACGAGCACCAGCAGCTCCAGAACCTCCAAGTTCAGCGCCTCTAGCTCCAGTGCCTCCACCGCCAGCGCCTCCCGCTCCAGAGCCTGCAGCGCCACCAGCCCCGGCAGCTCCAGCACCTCCAGTACTAGCACCTCTGGGACCAGCAGGGCCAGTACCACCAGCACCTCCAGCACCAGCAGCACCACCAGCACCGGCAGCTCTATTACGGCCAGTACTAGCACCTCCAGGACCAGCAGCTCCAGGGTCTCCAACTCCAGGGTCGACAGCACCAGCTCCAGGGCCTCCAGCTCTAGTGCCTCCAGCTGCAGCACCCCCAGAACCGGCACCTCCAGCTCCAGCAGCACCACCAGACCTCGCAGCTCCAGTACCTCCAGTACGAGCACCTCCAGAACCAGAAACACCAGCACTCTCAGCGCCTCCACGACGAGCAGCTCCAGTAGCTCCAACCACAGCACCTCCAACCACAGCACCTCGAGCAGCAGCACCTCCAGCAGCAGGACCTCCAGCTCCAGCAGCACGAATCCTCGGGCGGGCACGCCACGTAAGCCACTCTCGTAGCTGCTGTGGTGAGAGAGGCCCCCGTCGGGAAAAGGGACCCGGAAAAACGCCAGCAGACTTAGCACCCCCAGACCCTGCACCCTCCGGCTCAGCACCCCCAGGCTCCGCACTCGTAGGCTCAGCATCCCCAGGCTCCGCACTCGTAGGCTCAGCACCCCCAGGCTCCGCACTCGTAGGCTCAGCACCCCCAGGCTCCGCACTCGTAGGCTCAGCACCCCCAGGCTCCGCACGCGCAGGCTCGGCACCCCGAGAGTCCGCACCCCCCAGCACCTCACGCACAGGCTCAGCACCCACAGACGCAGCACCCCGAGCAGCACCACCCGCAGCAGCACCTGAATTGCTAGTGACCTCTACAGGCTCAGCCAAGGGGAGCGGGTCTACCTGAGACACACCTGAAGGAGCAGGACCCTGAGGGGGGAGGGGGTCTACCGGAGGGGGACCTGGAGCGAGGAAAAGCGGCGGGGGAGGGAGAGGGGCAGTGTGGTAGAGGAAGAGACGGTAGAAAAGAACGGACTCCTCAAAGGTGACGTCCTGAGAAGACAAAACACAGCGCGAGGTGGGGTGGTAAAACTGCCAGCCACGCGCATCAGGGGGGAAGCCAAGGAAGACGCAGGGAATGGTGCGAGAGGAGAGCTTGTCCGCGGACGTATCGCGGACAAGGGCACGAACACCCCAGACCCGGAACACCGATGCATCGCCAACCTCTCCCGTCCAACGCAGTGTGGGCGGAACTCCGGCAAGGAGACACGGGGCCAGAGGTTGAGCTGCTGCGTGGCGTACCGGACTGCAAACGGCCACAGAAAATGGGGAGCAGCTGCATGGATCAAGGAGGTACGAGCGATCTCTATGACCAAGCCAACGTGGTGCTCAGCAACCCCATTTTGTTGCGGTGAGCTCGGAAGCGTGAACAACGGGAGGATGCCCTCCCCCTAGCAGAATACCCGCAAGAGGTCAGAGAAGAACTCACCACCTCTGTCAGAGTGCAGACGCAGGACAGGGAGGTCCTGGCGGAACCGCTCGCGGAGCTGGAGACGAACTGCTCGGATCCAAGGGATCAAGACAGCAGGGACCTCACCCTTGGTGCGCAAGGGGAAGACTGTGGTGTA